TCTTTATAGGTTAGGTTAGGTTAGGTAGCCGAAAAAGTTAGATTAGGTTAGGTTAGGTAGACGAAAAACAATTAATTCATGAAAACTTGGCTTATTAGGCAAATCGGGCCTTGCATACTAGGCTGAGAAGTGCGTTCTGGCTACTCGGTACGACATATATATATATATATATATATATATATATATATATATATATATATATATATATATATATATATATATATATATATATATATATATATATATATATATATATTAAGGGTACCACCTCTGGTGCAATTTCAGGGACCCACATCCTCGAAGAAGAAAACAAAGAGCATTCAGAGAAGATCTTGTGCATTCTCACTGAATACTTTATTCTTTTCTTCTCCTACCACCCCTATTATTTCTTTGTATGTTTCGTTTTATTTTATTGCAATGCTACAGTTTACAGAGAACACACACACACACACAAATATATACACACACAAATATATAACAATTAAATAATCAGCGTTGGAAGACCTCGTCCTGCTCCTCGGAGGTTGGGTGCGTACCCAGGATACAGCACGCATTTCCCCTCTGAACTGCGACACTGAGGCGTTGGAACAGGAAACTGGCTGCTCGTGGGTCTCTAGTTTTCCCAATGAGTTCCTCAACAACCTCCTTTGAAAACTTGAGTGCACATTTACCCCAGGCGCCCAGAGTCTCAGAGCCTATCGGCACGAACCTGTAACAACGTTCTAGGTCTCTGTACTTGTGGGTTTTCTGGGTCTCCCTGAAGGTGGCTGCCCCACCTCCCTCCGCTCAGCTGTAACGTAAATAGGTATCAGCCAATGTAGATGCACAGGTGTAATCCCATACGACCAGTTTACCTTCCCTCCATGGCTGCAGGGTGACTCCATCTGGGCGTTTTTGCTGTTGTCAGTTCTGCACAACTGGGGTTCCCTTTGTGCTGGGCACCCAGCTGAAGCCAAACTTCTCTTGATGATGTCATTGACTGCTTCATGTCTGGCAATCTTTCCCTGTGTCTTACGACAGATGAGACCATGCCTGCCGTATTGGTCTGCCCGTGCATGGCCGCAACCACACCGGTGTTCGGTGGAGATAGGGGCGGCAAGGCGCAGAGCAACACCAATACTTAGGGCCTGATGGTCCAGGCGGGTGCCCAAGGAGGAATTAGGGACTGCCAACAGTCCAAATGCCTACAGTCCTGTTGGCATTTTTGTCTGTACAGACAAAAATCAGAAGATACAATTGACGATCTACTATAAAACCAAGAAAACGGCCAACCTACTCATGAGAAACTCTCCAGACACAAAGCAGAACGCTTTAAAAAGAAACCAATGTCGTCTATGCCTTCAAATGCCCACTTGGGGACTGTAAGCCTCAAAGAATTCAGTATATAGGCAAGACAACAACATCTCTTTCCAGGCGATTAACGATGCATAAGCAACAGGGTTCCATTAAGAAACATATAATCTCTTCCCACAACCAGACCATCACCAGAGAAGTCTTAACAAAAAACACGGAAATCATCGATAGATACAGCGATAGCAGGCCGCTTGGTATCTGCGAGGCACTACACATTAAGAAGTCAACACCAGCAATCAACAGCCAATTAATATTCTACCCACTTCAAGACTCCGCACCAATATAGAAGCATCAAGAAATATGGGCCAATAGGCCCTTTGCAGTTACTTCCATTCTTCCCTTTAACTTACAAAATATTATACCCATTGTTTCGTGTTCTGTCTTGTGTTAAAAGTTTGTTTTCACCTCATCCAAAACTGTTGTAACATATCACCTCACCCAAATGCAGGTATAAAATCGAAGCTGTTTGAACTCTGTTCAGTTATAGTTGTGTGTGTAAACTAAATTCTTTGAAAATGTAATAAGTTTTGTGAAACGCGTTCAAGTGTCGCGTCAGACTAGAAATAAAAATGAATTTTGGAGAATTGATTTTTCAGTTACCATCAACAGTGAAAAGAAATATAAGAAACAGAGAAAAATCGTGTTAGAATCATTAATCTTACTTTTTCGGTTATATTTAATAATATATGTCTACAGGAAAGACTGCTACCAAAATATACTAATATATATATATATATATATATATATATATATATATATATATATATATATATATATATATATATATATATATATATATATATATAAAGTCGTACCTAGTAGCCAGAATGCACTTCTCGGCCTACTAGGCAAGGCCCGATTTGCCTAATAAGCCAAGTTTTCCTGAATTAATATATTTTCTTCAATTTTTTCCTTATGAAATGATAAAGCTACTCATTTCATTCTGTATGAGGTCAATTTTTTTATTGGAATTATATATATATATATATATATATATATATATATATATATATATATATATATATATATATAAATATATATATATATATATATATATATATATATATATATATATATATATATATATATATATAGATATATTTATATATATATATATATATAAAGAGGCACCCTTCTTGAGATATATATATATATATATATATATATATATATATATATAGATATATTTATATATATATATATATATATAAAGACGCACCCTTCTTGAGCCCGGATGGGCACATGTATAAGCAAGTAGATGGGGTCGCCATGGGTTCTCCCCTAGGTGTCCTGTTTGCAAACTTCTACATGGGTACCATCGAGCAAAAAGTCTTAGTCGACATGAACTTGAAACCGGCCATATACTGCAGGTATGTTGACGACATTTTTACACAGGTACCTGATGTCAGACATCTGCAGGAGCTGAAGGAGGCATTTGAGCAGAGTTCCGTGCTGCGTTTCACTTACGAGACGGAAAAGGATGGGAAGCTGCCTTTTCTAGATGTAACAGTCATGGAAAAGGGCGGAGGTTTCCACACTGCAGTCTACACAAAGGAAACAAACATAGGAATGTGCCTAAATGCCAACAGCGACTGCCCTGACAGGTACAAGAGGAGTGTTGTTAACGCATACGTCGACCGTGCTCTCAGCCACAGCTCAGAATGGAAGCAAGTCGACGAAGAACTCTGTAGGGTAAGGCAGTCCTAGTCAATAACGGCTTCTCCAATGGTTTCATCGAAGACATCATAAGAAGGAAAGTGAAAAGCCATGCAACCTCCGAAGAGACAACTAACACAGTACCTATACCCCCTATTAGACTATTTTACAGGAACTTCTTTTCCACAGCTCATAAAACAGAGGAAAGGGTCCTGAAAGATATTGTTAATAGAAACGTTATCCCTACCGACAAAAATCAGAGGATACAACTGACGATTTACTATAAAACCAGAAAAACGGCCAGCCTACTCATGAGAAACTCTCCAGACACGAAACAGAACGCTTTAAAAGAGACTAACGTCGTCTATGCCTTCAAATGCCCACTTGGGGACTGTAAGCTCCAAAAAACCCAGTATATAGGCAAGACAACAACATCTCTTCTAGGCGTTTAACGATGCATAAACAACAGGGCTCCATTAAGGAACATATAATCTCTTCCCATAACCAAACCATCGCCAGAGAAATCCTAGTAAACAACACAGAAATCATCGATAGATACAGCGATAGCAGGCGGCTTGACGTTTGCGAGGCACTACACATCAAGAAGTCAACACCAGCAATCAACAGCCAATTATTGCACAACTATATTCTACCCACCTCAAGACTCCGCTCCAATATAGAAGCATCAAGAAATATGGACCAATAGGCTTTCTACAAACACTTCTATTCAATACCCATTGTTTCTGTTCTGTCTTGTGTTGATACTTTTAATACCCTATTAATATCCTCTAGTGTTCTGTCTTGTGTTAATGCCACATCATCCTTCCCACCTCACTCAAATGTAATGCCACATCACCCTTCCCACCTCACTCAAATGTAGATATAAAATGAGGGAAACGCAAGTTCTAATCAGTTGTGTATTTGTGAAGTCTTTGAAAATGTAATAAGTTTTACGAAACGCGCCCGTGTCGCGTCAGACTAGAAATAAAAATGAATTTTGGAGAAGTGATTTTTGATTTACCTCCAACAGTGAAGCGTATTGTACGAAAGATTGAGAAAATTCGTGTTAGAATTATTAATCTTACTTTTTCGGTCATATTTAATAATATATGTCTACAGGAAAGACTGCTACCAAAATATACTAATATATATATATATATATATATATATATATATATATATATATATATATATATATATATATATATATATATATATATATATATATATATATATATATATAATATATATATATATATATATATATATATATATATATATATATATATATATATATATATATATATATATATATATATATATATATATATATATATATATATATATATATATATATATATATATATATATATATATATATCTTGAAGGAGATATATATATATATATATATATATATATATATATATATATATATATATATATATATATATATATATATATATATATATATATATATATATATATATATATATATCTGCACAAAATTTATTAAACACAGTGTGTAAAAATTTAATAATATTGATTTAACAAATATTGATTAGTAAATAGAGCGTGGATTTAGACCAAAAAGCAGGTACCAAAATAGACTTGGCATTGTTGGAATATTTCATATGTAGTTTCGACGGATATATAAATGAGTTTGGATGGATATAAACAGGATCTGTCTCATATGGGCCAAAAGGCCTCCTTCTCATTTTTACTCACGAGTTTTATGTTACATTCAATCAAGACTTCGAGTCTCTTAAAATATTTGCTCTGATCATCACATTTTATTTTATTCCTCAAATGCTATTCAATCAGGCATATATAATTGATCAATATTTTTCAACTAGAGTTTCACCGATTTCTTAACTTTGAACAGTTTATATAAACATTATTAGACTAGTTGATCATAATGAGTATCTGGTAATTGGCTCAGTTTCTGCTGTTAGGAGCTGTTTTGACTTGTGATCATTGTCCTTCACACTCAGGTATAGCATAATAGAACGGGACGGAGCGAAGATCTTAAGCATGGTGGAAGAGAACAAGACGTTACTGAAGGTGTGTGACGGCTCCAGACACTGGGACAGGTACCTGCTCTTCCTGGACCACATGATAACTCGGGGCCTGGTGGACGCCGCCAGTTGCAGGTGCGCACTTACTGCTGCCTCTTCATTTCCAACTGTATAATTCCCACACTGAGTGATAACATCTGCTGGCCCACAGTCTGGCACTTACCCAAAACACTCTTCTCTAAAAATTGCGCATTTAATGGAGAATATTAAATATTAATACAATTCATCATTATGTTTCGTGTGGCAGTGAGTTTCATACTATATTGTATGGGGAAGGGCGGGAGTGTAGATGAAGCGAGGTTCATGGCCGCTTATGTTGTAGCTGCCATGAACCTCATAGCTTTCTCACCGTGGCGGGCACCGCTTCCAAGGTTCATTAAGCGATCAATGACACTCGAGGTTATTGTGGGCAATGTTTATTTACTGCCTCCAATGAAAATATGAATATCTTGTTTAAAAAGATTACTCAGAAAACTCTCAACTAATAGAAACACCAATGTCTTTAGAAATTGTCTAAATGGTTTAATATCGAGATCGTCACCTACTATTTACCTGCTAGCAATGTCATTCTACTGACTTCTTTTCTGTCTATTTATTATACCGCAACCTATGAAGAAGCTCCTGTAACAACACTGTAAACAGAAGGAAAAATAAAACATTTTCTTTCTCGGCTAATTGGTATTGTTATCTCTCAGTCTCTTCTACCTGCTGGACAACTGTGAACCACGCGTGAACCAGTTCCCGTTGCTGGAGGCTCGGCTGGAGCTCCAGGACACCCACCTCATCATCACTCCCTCCCCTGAGGAGCTGGGGGCCCTGGCTGAGACACTAGTTAGTGATATCCTTCACGCCTCTACCCTCGTCCCGCGCCTCGCCACCCACCTCCACGCCACTTACCTGGTGCGTACCTGCGTTAAGTATCTTGGTTGTGTACCTGCTGCTTATTGGTACATCTACAACTAGTATTGTACCGTCAGAAAATCCTTCGGTGTTTCCTGATAAATGAATTAGATACTAATTAATACTGGGGGATAACATACGGTGTTTCTAATTCGTCACAAAAATAATCAACCGCTGAGAAGTACACACTTGAGGAGAAACTCTCAGTGTAACTTTCCATTCATGTTATTTTGTTTCACATGAAGATGGTCACACACATGGGGAGATTATATAATGGAGCTCTCCTCTACTTCCTACAATAGTCACACGCAATAAAGAGAAAAGAAAACCTCTGAAGGTTGAAGATAACGCTGCTGCAAAGCTTATGTATTACTCATTAATTTAGGGTCTTCATGACAGTAAGTTTAATAATAAATTTTGATGTGAAGAGTTTCAGGGAAATTGAACAGTGTTATTTCTCTGTCTGTCTGTAACAGCCTGACGTCGTGAAAGACGAAGAGATAATAGACCTGAAGGAGATCCTGCTTGAGAGGTTTCGGATAGTGGCGACTAAGTCGGCTGAACACAGAGATCAGTTCCTGCAGCACCAGGCACTCTGGAAAGACCGACGTAGCGAGATGCTTGATAAGTTCCTCTCCTCCGGCGACAACGGAGCCCAGCCTTCCCTGGCGCAGTTCAGACAACAGGTACGGCCACTGCAAGATGCAATACAGTTTCTTGCTGCACATGAGCAACACCCTTCACTAAATTAACATTTTATACTTTGTTCATAACATACACGAATTTAAATTTGTTACAAATGAGTAGTTTTAAGTGATATAAGACAAGACTAAAATTTAAACAGGTATATTAGAAACCAGATACCAAATAAAATATTTTTAACCTCAAGGATTAACATTAATGTGTTTCAAATATTGTTCTCCGATGCAATATAATAGTTTTGCTAAATTGTACTTTAAGGCTCTTGACAGGTTTTTGAAACTGACTTAATAAAATGTTGCAACATAGTTAATTGTTGATTTACGATACATTTGAAATATCAGATTAAAAAAGTGTTTCACTTCCAAAAATTCAAACGAATCCACATGTGGACGTTAAGTACATACTTTGTGGCCACATGTGGACGTTAAGTGCACACTTTGCGGCCACATGTGGACATTAAGTACATACTTTGTGTTCATATGTGGACGTTAAGTGCATATTTTGCACCCACATGTGGACGTTAAGTGCATACTTTGCGGTTGATCTTCCTTTGTATCTCCGATGTGTTAAGTTGTGGATCTTAATCAGCAAAATGCTTTAACACTTTCCACTGTTTCGTTGAGCATCCTTGACACTACCTTTATGGTCATATGTGACAGTGCATCGGTGAACTCTGTTGACACTGCCTGGACGGGCACCTCTGACACTACTTAAGGTGGGGGAGGGGGGGTGGGTAGCACTTTGATACGTCATCTTTAACAGTCCTTGCTTGGCACCTTTGGAAATATTTCTGTAGTCTGCATCGGTGGCTACCATTGACACTGCTTTCACGACCGTTTAGTCATAAACAGTGTTAAAAATTCTACCTTTCTTTGCTAGATTGACCGCTACGAGGCCCTCTACACTGAGCTAGAGGGCATCGAGACCACTGTGGTGTTTGACAAGTGGTTCCGTCTAGATGTGAGGCCCTTCAAGCACAGCCTGCTGGCCAACACCAAGAAGTGGGCTCGCATGTACAAGCAGCACCTCATCAGTCAAGTTACAGACAGGTTAGCAACTGAGATGATTCACAGTTTATATCATGTCACTCGAACAAACGCCATAAGAGGGGATCCTATAACTTATATAAAGCTCAAGACATGGGTTGGTACAGCTATATTGATGACATATTTATATGTTGGAGGGATAGTTGGCAGTCTTTCTCTCAGTTCTTTGACAGGATGAACGCTCTAGTTCTGTATATCAGTTTTAAAGTTGAATGGGAATAAGATGATAAATTGGCCTTCCTAGACATCTTAGTAATAAGGGGTAACACCTCGCTGAGTTACCACTGTGTACCGGAAAGATACACATTTACGTAATTATCTGTATTACTTCAGCAATCATGCCAAGAATTAAAACGGTGTAGTATAGTATAGGGTTGTGTGGCTTCATTGCCATAGATCTGTAGATATCTATATGGTTTGGTACAGATTTCTACATCTATAGATATGTATTTGGTATGTATTTCTACATCTATAGATATCTACATCTATAGATAAACTATTTGGTAAAAATATGTAGCCGATTTTTATGCTTATGGCTTGCTAACCATGACCAATCTGCAGACGAGGAGTCACAATAACGTGGCTGAAATATGTTGCCCAAACCACACACTAGACAGTGAAGGGACGACGGATGACGAAACGTCGTCGTCCCTTCACTTTCTAGTGTGTGGTTTGGTCAACATGACCAATCTGCTTTTCTTAACCGCCTTAACTCACTGGTCCCATTTATCAAATGCACGAGTGAGAATGAGGAGAATGGTAATCTTTTCTTGGCATTATGATCCATAGTCAATAGGTATTTTAAATTTAATGTGCATAGAAAACCTACAAATGTCTGTTCCTGGATTTAACACTAACACTAGTGGTCTAGACGAGGACAGGAAGCCGGCGGCTAGTGAAAGGTTTGCCATTGTTCAACATCATTTGCCTTGATGTTTGAAAGAGCATTTATATTCAAATCATCATATTAACGCTAAACGTGCGATATTTACTGGAATGTTTCTCAGAGCCGTGAGGATTTACAGCCCGGAATTTGTTGATAACGAGTTGGCTAAGATACGAAACTGGTGCAACGCTGCAATACCCTAAAACAGTTTTAGATGTGTTATTAGGACCATCTAAGCCGACGTTGTAAAATTATAAGCCCAGGCCTAAGCCTAGCCTCAGAAACTCCCTTGTTCTTACGTACTCTGATGAACTTGCAAAACATTCCCCGGTTTTGAAGAACTTTAATATTAATGTAGTGTTCAAAAACAATAATATAATTTGGTTCGTTTTAATAAAGAACTCGCCAGCGTTGACTGCAGAATGTGTGTATTTGATCCCGTGCAAAGATTGTGAGTTGAAGTACACCAGCCATATTGGAAAATTTTGGACTCTCGTTTGACCCCACATCGCTACTTAATTCGAATGGCACAACAGTTCATTGCGCTATATCTGCATGTCCGTCTCTGATAATACCATTAACTGTAAACAAGCAAAACGTATCGCTAACTGCTTGGACATTGTTGGAAGAAATTTAATTGAGTCCTTAATCTTAATCACTGTCACAATACTATTGTCAGTCCGGGCCTATATAAACTCGATTCTTTTTTTGTCTTAATTCGACTCTCTTTTTTCAGTCTTAATATTGCATAAATGTTTAATGAACAACAAATGGATTTCCACCCCATATACACATTGGTGTTGTCCTGCTGATGATTCTTGTTAGGTTGTCATTCTCCTGTCCTGCACTCCTGTGGCTATTGCTGTTATGTTAAATTAGGTTATGTCATTCGCCATCCGTGCACACTTCTGAGTTTTGCATTTTGATTTGAATTATGTCAAATTAGCTACTCTCGGGTGGATGTCGCCTCGTTTTAATATAGTATGACTTGTCTGGCCGCCCGTTTTCTGCTTGGCGGATATTCGTTTTTCTTTTCGGTTAGAAAATGGGAGCATCTCCAACATGGATAGCACTGGTAATAAGGTAGCCAATAATACCCTAGGTCTTGGATTCAATGTCATAAGTAAGATTTCTAGGAGTTTTTCTTTTGGTTGCATTATCTCTTCCTTTTTATACAATTTAATCCATCTATATGTGCATAAGTTCATTGTCTCTGCCTTCTTTCTCTCGTTCCAATGTCTTCCTTCGGCTTCTCATGTTTATTAGAGAGGCTGGCGGCCCCATTGATGGTTGTTGTCCGGACAGCAGCCGGTCTCACTCTCCTTCTGCCATACTGTCCTTACACTTGTCTCACGGTACACCTCTCAAGCCTCCTTTAATCACTCCTCACCCCAACCTCTCACTATTCACTCAATTTTCATTTATTCACAAACTTCACAATTATTTTTCGCCCCACCACTAATTCACTCGGTTCCTCACTTCTCATTCATTCCCTCTATCTGTTCTTACATTTTATCCATGTAAGCAAGATAGGGACTACGACCGTACGCGAGCATCTGAACAGGTGAACCACCTGTGGCACACCTGCCCAGGTGAGCGCGGGGTGATCCGTCTCATCGCGGTGAGTGGTGCCCCTTGCGTGCGGTCATAGTCCTTGTGTGTTTAATGGGGTGTGTGGTTAGAATAGGGTGAGCATGTGAACATGTGTAGCAGGTTTATAACAGAAGTGCAGGTGTGTGTTAGGCCGTTGGCTTGGTGTAGTGTTAGTAAGGGCAAGAAGAGTGTTGGAATATTATGTGATGCAAGCATATAGGTGTGTGTGTGTGTGTGTGTGTGTGTGTGTGTGTGTGTGTGTGTGTGTGTGTGTGTGTGTGTGTGTGTGTGTGTGTGTGTGTGTGTGTGTGTGTGTGTGTGTGTGTGTGTGTGTGTGTGTGTGTGTGTGTGTGTGTGTGTGTGTGTTTGTGTGTTTGTGTGTGTGTGTGTGTGTGTGTGTGTGTGTGTGTGTGTGTGTGTGTGTGTGTGTGTGTGTGTGTGTGTGTGTGTGTGTGTGTGTGTGTGTGTGTGTGTGTGTGTGTGTGTGTGTGTGTGTGTGTGTGTGTGTGTGTGTGTGTGTGTGTGTGTGTGTGTGTGTGTGTGTGTGTGTGTGTGTGTGTGTGTGTGTGTGTGTGTGTGTGTGTGTGTGTGTGTGTGTGTGTGTGTGTGTGTGTGTGTGTGTGTGTGTGTGTGTGTGTGTGTGTGTGTGTGTGTGTGTGTGTGTGTGTGTGTGTGTGTGTGTGTGTGTGTGTGTGTGTGTGTGTGTGTGTGTGTGTGTGTGTGTGTGTGTGTGTGTGTGTGTGTGTGTGTGTGTGTGTGTGTGTGTGTGTGTGTGTGTGTGTGTGTGTGTGTGTGTGTGTGTGTGTGTGTGTGTGTGTGTGTGTGTGTGTGTGTGTGTGTGTGTGTGTGTGTGTGTGTGTGTGTGTGTGTGTGTGTGTGTGTGTGTGTGTGTGTGTGTGTGTGTGTGTGTGTGTGTGTGTGTGTGTGTGTGTGTGTGTGTGTGTGTGTGTGTGTGTGTGTGTGTGTGTGTGTGTGTGTGTGTGTGTGTGTGTGTGTGTGTGTGTGTGTGTGTGTGTGTGTGTGTGTGTGTGTGTGTGTGTGTGTGTGTGTGTGTGTGTGTGTGTGTGTGTGTGTGTGTGTGTGTGTGTGTGTGTGTGTGTTTGTGTGTGTGTGTGTGTGTGTGTGTGTGTGTGTGTGTGTGTGTGTGTGTGTGTGTGTGTGTGTGTGTGTGTGTGTGTGTGTGTGTGTGTGTGTGCGCGCGCGCACGCTGAGAGAGAGTCAAAGCATAGGCCCTAGGTGGTCTCAGCAAGGTTCAGGTGCGGGACGCGTGGCATTGCAGTGAATGATTAGGTTGGGAACAAGAAGGGTACCTTAGCCAGAGGTGCTGCACCCACTCTGTGACCTTTCTCGCTCTGAGTCGGGCGGCGGCAGCGGCAGGGCTTCTCACTCGCATGGTGACGTCACCTTGCATCAGCAGACCTTGGAGACCGGGTGTAGCATGTGGTAGGTTAGGCTAGGGTTGACGGGAAGGGGGTTATAGGGGATGGGGGGTGTCTATCTCTCTCTCTCTCTCTCTCATTTTCAGTAGGAGAGGAAGTAGATGAGTGTGTGTAGGAGTGTAAGATAGATCGGTGGATTGAATAATATATTGAGGTGATGAAGGTATACTTACATATGATTTTTAGGGTTCAGCCATCTGCAGGTCATCTGGATTCCCTCACGAAATCTATTCAGTGCCTGAGAGAGTGAGATGGATGGGTGCGGGGATATGGAACATCCTAAAACACTTATCACTATGCTTAGAGGGGTCATAAGAATTTGTTGTGATGCACTGAGAACCACAGAGGCTGTCCACGAACCCTCACGCAGCCTCGGTGAGTTAAAAAAAAAACGCACATTAACCAAAGGACTTCTGTTGAGGTCTCCCTCTGTCAAGACTCTACCTGATCAAACACAGATGCCAGCCCATTTCACCCACACAGAGAATGATGGGGGTGCGAACCTTAGTGTGTGGGAGTGAAATATATATAAAGATATATACAAAGATTAAGTATTAAGGTGTGTGGAGCTCCCCTCCAGCCAATCATTACGACTACACCCATCAGAGGATGGGATACTAATGCCCAGTTTGGGGCACTGCCCTTACTCCTGCCCCCACCACACATCCGGTGGCACCCACCCCCCACCCTCCAGCAGCTGTCCCTCATCAATTACCTGACAATTCCTTAAGCCAACTTCTTGTCATAGCTTCATTAGACAGCCTGCATTTCTCCTCAAACACACCAATAGTGAGGAAAAGTAAACACATTTAGTACCCCCAGCCGCTCCTCCTCCCGCACCATCAGTGAGGGAATAATGAGCGAGGGAAGTGTGTACCTAGGTCATAGCGAGAGATCCAACCACTTCAACATCCGCTGGGGTGAGGTGCCATCTCGTTGGACACACTCAGTCAATATGACAGGTGTGTGTGATAGGATGTCTTTTTTTTCTTAAACCAATTTTTAGTTTAAGGTTCTTACATATTCAAATAAAAATAATATTATCAACAAGCCTCAATATGGAGACACAGTCTCTATATAGATGC